GTGGAAACCAAAATTCCTCTTTTTTCAATTTTCTTCTTCTCACAGATCTGTAGAAATTTTTATTAGAGTTACATTAGTTTAAAAAACTGATACGATTGATAGAGCAAAACAATCACATAGTTGCGCTAAAAAAAGAGCTGTAGTTGTTGATGGCGACGATAATGTTAGCTGAACTGTGATGTATGATGAACAATTAATGAAAATGAATCCAAAAATTAATAAATTGAGAAACCCAAAAAAAAGGGCAATAAATTAACAATGAACTGATCTGATAAAACGGTTCTATAATTCTGCTCTCAGGTAGCTCAAAATCACTACTTTAAAACCAAAAAAAAATTACATCCATTAACTTTTTGAACATATGGTTGTAAAAGAATGTTACTGCAAACAGCTTATCTAAATTTTTTGTTTCGACTTGCAAAAAAAAAACCAACATCAATAACCGCTGCAAAGAGCTAACAATAACGGTACAAAAAGTTGGTAAATATCGTTTCTTCTCATTACAACTCTGTCAGTTTTTCATACATTTTCTTCTTTTTTTTTTTCATCTTATATAATTTATTTTTTTCTTCAACTTTTCCTTTTTTATTCTTTTTTTTTTTCGCATTGCCCTATTATCTTTTTCGTTTGTCTCCAACAACCAAACAACTAAAGCTGATTAAATAAACAGAACAAAACAAAAAGAAAGAAAAAACAACGTGCTGCGTGACTGAAAGGTGTTTGTAGAAAAATTCTTCCAACAAAAATACACCCACAAAAACACACAGATACACAAACATTCAAACAATCTGTGGTCTTACTGACCTCTTCTTACAGTCAGACGACTGTCAAATAACCAAAAAATACTGATCAAGTTTTAACTGAGAAAGAAGATAAAAAATAAATAAAAACAAGACTGCATTAGCAGTCATTTGCAATATTGCCTCTAAAATTCTTAGTATCCAACAAACATGGCGATGACTATGAACTAGAGAAGAACAAAGAAACTATTTTTACGCTCCACGCAGAAAAAAATTGTAAGTAAGCAAAAGAACAAAAAATGCTGTTCAAGAACAACTTTAATAGCCGATCGAACTATTAAAACGCCTATCTCATGTCTCTATTCATCTGATTTTAAATGGTCAACCAATTCACCATTCAATGAAAAAAAGCATTAAATAGGTGCTGCTGTATGATGACAGTGACCATGGTGATAATGACGACGATTATGATGATGATGGCGGTGATGACGACGACAACGAAGACGACTATAGTGATGTCGATCAAGCAGCTGAAATACACACGTACAAATTATGTACATATATATATATATATATATATATA